CCTATATACCAAATTTTAGCATCCAATGATTTACGGGTACGGACATACAGTATGAATGTTATTTTCATATATAAACGTGCCTCTTTCACACCCACGGGAGACGCCCCAGTCAAAATAATCAAAAATCTTTATTAGTGTGCATCTAAGACCTAAGAAGCACCTATGTACCAAATTTTAGCTTCCTAGGAATTACCAGTACGGACTTACCAGTATGAATGGTAATTTTCATATGTAAACGCCCCCCTTTTACCCCCACAGGGTTTCCATAGTCAAAATATTCAAAAATCCTTCCTTAAGTGCGCATCTAAGACCTAAGAAACACCAATATACCAAATTTTAACTTCCTGGGACTCACCAATAAGGACTCACCAGTATGAATGGTAATTTTCATATGTAAACGTTCTTGTTTTCATTCCCACGGTTGGAATATTTAAAAATCCTTTCTTAGTGCGTATCAAAAACCCAAGAATGAATGAGTTACTTTTGCATTTATAAGTATAGGTGTGACTCATTTTTTATGAGCTATTGTCATGTTACATCAACTATAAACAAATGTTTTTCAACTGGTATCAGAATATGTGAACGGTGTAGGTAATTCACTATCCACAGCTGAAAAATACCTTTCAGACTACAATAACAATTATTTGAGGTTAATTATATTCGATTATCAGTTTAAAATGTATTTAAATTATTTTGAGTTTTTTTATTGTAGATAATCGAGTCAACAAAATAATAAACATTTGTCAAGGTTTCGTTATGAATTAGAATGAGTGTTTCGATAAAAAACTCGTTATACCAAAAAAAATCAAGATAAACATTAGCAGTAATAACTATTCCAATTGATTTCGAGTTCTTTCCATTTTGAGAAATCCGTCGATTGAAACGGTATGAAAAGTAGCAACTAGAGGAGGAATAATCAAAGAGCAGATATCGATGGTAATGATTATTCCATATAGGAATAGCAAAATCGCAGCTTTTGACTACAGTAGAAAGTCATAGGAAAGTCGTATATCCCTTTCAGTAGACAGAAAATATAAACGGGGAACGTCAAAGTAATGTCAATAATTTGTTAGCACTTGTTCTTTAACAGAAATATTGGATAGGCTTCACCCACCGATTTTGCAAAAAAATGTGGGCGACTGACGTATTTTGACGTTTAGATAATGATCTGAACACTCTGCCTCTTTTCCAGAGTTACTTACCTCAGCAGCAGCCGCTAATTTATTTCCCTGATTACAAGGTTCTAGATTGTCAACTTCTGGAAACATTTTAGCGTCAACTGAACTGGGTTGAATTTGGGATGATCCAATATCGCAAATTGGGAAGGCGAGTTAACGTTAATTACCTACACTGAATAGCTATTCTGGCGAGTTATGTTTTCTTCGAAGTTAACCGTTATTCATGACAATCACATAATTCAAAAAATGCCATTCACATGTGTGTTACAGATCAAGAGGTTAATGCTGGTCATTGGTTATAATAGGTATGACAGAAAATGACTTCACGGACATTACATATAAAAACATGAACAGATTAGGTGAAGAATATTATAATATTATACGAAAATTACTTTTCCCTATTCAGTTTGTACTCCAAACGTTCGTTATGGAATTGAAACAGATATCATTCACAGGATTCTCACGCAATTTATGAGGTAAATAAGGTAAATGCTCAAATTACGCCTCTTCACTCAAAGGCATTTTGTTAAAATTGTTGACACGTATCAATACGTATCATACAGATTATAACGATAAAGATCCACATTATTTGTTGCACAATTGCCCATATTTAATCCTTCTAGAAGAAAGTCGATGGCAACATTTAATTTGTCTCTAAATCTTTCCGTTGTAGAGAATATTTTTAAATCAATTACTAAAATACGAGGAAATTTGTGGATTGATAGGGACTTTGTGCAGTTTCTTCTATCCTTGCATTTCAAATATGTCGGTTTTTCATTCCCATCCAAGGTTTCTTCTCTTGTGAACGAAACTAAGCCACAAACTCAATTGAATTACTAAAATACGGGAAAACTTATGGATTGATAGGGACTTTGTGCATTTGCATCACGAACAGGTCAGTTTTTTGTCTCCAACCAGAGTTTTTTCTCTTGGGAAGGAATCCAAGCATTGCAACATCCTCAATTGGCCAGTTCTTCGTTTAATTGACCAACGAAATTGTCTACAATCTTAAAATTGTACATCCTCAAATATCTCAGCCAATGAACATTGAGAAATGGAATTTTCTATGTTTTATACCACCATACAAGTGTATTACTCTACACTCTTTTGAAATAGACTATAGCTGTTACCTGCTGTTTTATCCTCATTACCGTGGAAACCTACTATGTGTTATTCCAGGTCATGATCTATCTATATACCAACTTACATTATTTGATTCCGTTGAGCTGTTTAGGCGTTAAAAAGTAAAATACGTAAATACATACATTACATTCATCCATTCTCATAAACTTTACGCATATATAATATTACTAGGTGTAGATAAAATAAGATATATATTTCATCTTTTTAGGTACACATGGTATACATAAGACAGGTCAATATAAACAAAACATAAAAGCTGAAAAGCGAAGATAATTGTAGAAAAATATAAAATACATACAGCCACATTTATTTTAAAAGTGATATAACAAAAAAAAAACATAACTCACTTTTCTTTATGATTTAAAATTTCCCTAAGTGAATAAAAATTGTTTTCCAATAAAAATGTCTTTAATCGTTTTTTAAACTTTTTGTTATCGGGAATATCTTTAATTTTTCCTGGAATGTGGTTGAAAGCCATTGCTCCGGCATATCTTGGCGATTTTTTGTATTCTGAAAGATTACATTTCCTAAGATGAATTTCATGGTTTTGTCTAGTGGGGTAATCGTGTATTTCGCGAGATCTAGTGAATGAAGACAAATTTGAGTGGATGTAAGACAGTAATTTATAAAGATAGATACCAAATACCGTCAGAATTTTATTTTTAAAGAAGACTTCTCTACATGATTCGTTGTATTTTAGATCGAAAATTAATCTTACCAATCTTTTTTGGATAACAAAAACTCTTTCTACTTCCACTGATTGTCCCCAAACCATTATGTTCATACATAGATTTGATTAAACGAGAGAATAATATTATCAATGTATTGCATTATAATCCTTTCAGTGTTTTTTGCCGACGCTATTCGTTATTGTGTAACTGGGTACCTATTGATTGACCGACACTCTTAAATTAACGTTCAGCCGAAGCTACTGATCCGATAATCTTGAAATATGCAGGTAGTTTCTTTGTATAGCGTAAATAATCATCGAAAGGGGAATCAGGAATTTCCACCCCAAGGGGTTTAAACATGTTAATGAACTTCATCAGTTCTGAAGTTAGAAATCTGAAGTTTGGGTTAATGAAAAAATATTTTAACTATTTGTTTGAAATGGTCTGTCACGAAACTTAATGTGATAGTACTTATGATGTACTGGTTGGAACCTTTGGTGTAGTAATGAATATTACTGGAGTTTTTTTCCAACGTCAAATCGTTTTTTTTTACACCTCGACACGTGCTTTGATCAATTCATCCAAAATTGTGTCATATTGTTGTTTGTGTATTTCATGATACTTATTTTTTTTACATCTCTTTTACGAGAAACAAAATTTCATGTAAAATCTAGTTGCATGTGAAATTTATTTTTGACAAAATAATAGTCTACTTGTCTACAAGAAAATATTTTGTTGATTCAAATACTGACTTTATTATTATAGCAATTATTGTGCGCATTTGTAAGTTATTTTGAAGGTAAGTGCGTGGAATAATAAAAAAAAAATTATAACTTCGAGCGAGTAGGGTCCATTTATTCTGCAATTTCTCATGGACTTCCAAAATACAAATCATGAAATTATGAACAACTTAAAACACTTATTTTGGACAAGAAAATCTCCAGTAAATCAATGATTTCCCGAGATTTTCCAAAATAAGAGTACCTTACTCCTGTCTCAAAATCAAATATTTGAAGGCTCCTCGTATATTACGTGTGTTTTACTGTATTTTGTAGGTGCATGTTTAGTTTTAGGGGATGCACAAACTTTTATCAAGAATAACTTTTTGTCGAAAAACCCTTAATAAATAAGTTTCCCATATGGTGTATACTTTTGGGATGACACTGTAGAAGTATTTGTTTCGAAAAGATTTATTTTTATGTAATTCAATGTTTATATGAAAGTAGCTGTTTCAGGAGGGCTTTTTTTCCAGTTTGTGCCTGGAAGTTACTTCTTTGCTTGATCTACACATCTATGTATAGAGTTACTTCCTTTAAAATTGATTGCTACCTTCTTTTCCTTGGAAGATTCTCACATTTTTTTGTATCAAGATTGAGTAGTAGAAAGCTAAAAGCTTTATTTTTGTTCGCACTATTATTAAAACACACCAACAGAACACTGAACCATTTTGATTTCGACAATAGAACGTTGAATGCCTTTTCAAAGGAAGTGAATTCTACGAATACGGAATCACGACTAACACGCTTCGATTCATCTTACCATAAGTTTACCATACTTCAGTCATCACTCGGCGATTTGGGTGCTTATTTCCTTAGTTTATTGCGACAATCGCAACTAGGTCGGATGACGTCCGCTATCAATCATTCTGTGCTGTAATACGCAAAATTCAACGCTCTATTTCTCAGTCCATTCATTGATACATTTTCCAAGTCTTCTCATTGATTTCACTGTTTCGTTTCATATTTCGAATTCAATTAGATTGATCTGGCATCAACAACATCATGAAACTTCTTCGTTTCCCCGTTTCTGCAGAAAACTTTGACCGGTTTTCTACTTTCCTCAGATAATTGAACGCTAAAAGAAAGAGTTGATGAACAAAAAGTTTAATAATTCACCTGATTACACCACTCACCGATTCTTGTATTACAAATACGAAACTATCAGTATTGTACTTTTGTACTATGAAACATCTACCTTAGAAATACAGTGTTTAATAATAAGAAACAAGTTTCAAATAACATATTGTATAATATATAAGTAATACATGATGTTTATATGTCATACTTGTTACGAAAACAATGGACTGTTCTCGAAATTTCTTAAAAGAGCACGTACAACTACAGGGTGTGCATACATAGGAAGTGTGTCCAGGTTTCTCTTGATGAAGTCCAGAACTTTTTGCTCAATTATTTTGGGATAGGCGTAGGTGGTGAATTTCTCTTCAATCAGGTCTTTTGCATCCTCCGACAACTGGAATCAGTGAGACTGAATTGAGGAAAAAGTAGTCGGCACCGTACTTGAAATGTTCCCAATAAAAAAAGTTGCAATATAACGTCGTAAAAGCGGATTGTTCAAGTTTACCAGCTGGATAAATTACACAAGAGAACATTATTAAATTTTTGTTTACAAATTGTAGGTCGCTGATTTCAAATCTACCCTCCCTTTTTACCAACAACTCTAGTTTTTGAGATACAGCTTTTGAACATATTTTGACAAATTCATTGTTACAATGTCTACATCGAGGAATATCTGTAAAAACGATCTCAACTATTTCTGTAACGTCTGTGGTGAATATACATTCAAAAATTGTAGTCTTCCTCGCTGTCGGTGTTCTTGTCCTTCTCATTTTCTACATATTCCTCTCGAGCTGATATTTTAATGTTCATCCATAAATGAGTCTCATCGCTGAAGATGATTAGAGTCAGTTACCAACTACTCCAGAGCCCATTCAGCGAATACACGTCGTTGTCTATGGTCGTTTACCTTCAGTTACTGGGTCAGTTGAATTTTGTACGGGTGCAGGCCCCAGTCACGACCCAAATTTCGCCAAGTTGTGGTCTGCGAAAGGCCGAGTTCTTGTGAGCGACTGTCTCGGATTCTCCTGCACACTCCCACAGACACCACATTGAGGATAGTTCTCCTGGTAGGACAATTATGGGGATCGTAAAATGGGCGAAGCGCGTGGTACGTTGCCCGATCAGAACACCTATTTTCATAGAATAATTTTATCATTTACACGTGTAATGGTGATTTGACAAAACAGACTGAATAAACGACAACTTATTTGATAGATATACCTTCAACAAAATGGTCGTCGTCAATTGTCAAAGTTTGGAAGTCCCGGTGTAATTTTTTGTTCAAAAGTTGGCTTTTCACAAACTGTAGAACAGTTTTTGAAACGAAACTAATATCTAGCCTTTTTAACTCACCTCTCGCCACTTATGCTGTTTATATAGGGTGATAAGATCGTTTATAAGCGATTGTCCACCAATGCCCTAGAAAAAATTGAAATTATTTCACTTTTTGTTTCGTTACTACATCTAACAAGACCAAATTGAACAATTACACCATACGTTTCAAGATGTAATTACTATGGCATGCTTCGACAAGAGTTTTGAGTTGGGCTGTGTAAATTATCACTCCGGAAATGCAGACAGCCCTATTTTGTTCAGAGGTCTTCTAAATGAACAATGTTCAGTGATAGTCAACTTGTGAAAACCAAAAAAAAATATTAGATTTGTCATCCTTACATAAATTCAAATTATGTACGTTCATTTATTTGGCCAAAAATAAGCTCAAACATTCAAATTTGACTTTCAAAATCGATGGTGACCAAGACAAGCATTACACAAGATATTCAGGCAATCTGAAATTAATGAAAATGAAAACAAAGAAGGTATCAAATTTTACAATGAGCTACCGAAGGCTTTAAAAAAAATTCACAAAAAACATTCCGGATTGATTTGAAAAAATATTTTTATTTTGTATAGATATATTATCTGAAGAGTACATTCATGTTCATGTTATAATCATATTCAAACATATATGTATGTATGTATGTATGTATGTGTATACATGAAAGTTTTCATGTATTCCTCTCAGGTCAAACTTTTTTCTCCGCCTATGAAAAATATGAACGAGGTGTCATCCGATTCAGAATAGTTTATAGATGATTTTTGAAAGAATTCAAGTGCCGTTTGCAAAAATTGCAAAAGTTATAAACAATCAAATTAAAAAAATTGGCTTAATTTTTTTGCAAATATCTCAAAAACTATTTGTTTTTATTCAAATTTGAAAAATGATTCAAAAAGAGGACGACATTTTCCAAAAAAGTCCTACTTTTTGGAAGTGCAAGACTAATATTTATAATTTCACTAGAGGGTTGAAAAAACACCCTGAAACGAGTATTTTAGCTTGAGTAAGAGACGCCCTTTGAAGAAAAAATATGATTTCAGCCTATTAAATATCAAAATTCAGAATTGAAAAAATTCAGACACTACTGAATAAATGAATGAATAATACTCCGTGGTCAAAAAATTTTTATCGTGACTTTCCAGTCAATTATGCATTAGGTAATTAACACTTTTTTTCTACTCAAACAGGAACATTGCAAGTGCTCATAACAAATCTGAATAGAATAAATTCACGTTGGAAAAATGAAAAAAATGTCATTTTAAAATTTGTTTTCAACAATTTACTTATCAAAAAGCTTCTTTAATAATTGAGAATAACTTTTCTTCTGATATTACTATTTATTCGTTTTTTGTGATCAGTAGCTACATGAAAATGATTTTTTGAATTTTCATATACTATTTTTTTCAAAATTGTTATGAATATATACGTTCTTGTGATGCACTGTTTGGAACGTTTGGTGTAGTAATGAATATTGGAGTTTTTTTCGATCACCGAGTGATCATCTTCATGGAAATCAGTAGGGAAGTATCGTCTGCATAAATAGTCATCTCAATATCCGGAAAGGAATTTGCGATTTCATTTATGTACAAAATAAAAAGAACTGGACCCAAAATAGATCCTTGTGGAACACCTATATTAATCTCCATCCTGGATTACTGTAGGTCGACCACTTCGGGACTCATCTTCGAGACTAAAATTTTTAGAACGAAATTTCGTAAACAAATGTTAATCAACACCATCATTGCCAAATGCCTGTTGAATTTTTCGGGCTGTTTCAGCAGCGCTTTGGTTTAATTTGAATTCGTAGAGAAAAATTGACAAATGCATAGCATCACTGAGTACAAAATTCTCTATTGATTAGTATATATCACGACACAGTAGAATAAATATTTATTGAGATATGAAGCTACAAAAACACATAACATTGAAACTGACAAAACTGTGAAAGAACCAAATATTTACTAGTTGTAAGAAAGAAATAGTGAACACATAAAAGCAATTCAACTTAACTCCAACTTATGAAAAACTAGTTATTTGATTATACATACGAAACCAGTTTTGTCGCTTATTGTCAACATTTTGACAGAATTACTCGTTGAAAACAGCGATTATAACATGATAGCGATGAATGTAATTATTAATTCATGATCATTCAAGGTTATTCATTTCGATCTACGTCTCTGACTCCAGGATTATTATGTAACTCAATTCGAGATGGATTTTTAATATAAATATTGATATAAAATAAATAACCGATCGAAATGTTTTCTTGAATGATTTGTAAATTTCAAGAATTTTACCTGCTTATTATAATGAGCATTATTGCTTTCGGTAGGTCCTAATTTCACTACACAAGTCGAATAATTAGTTCAGCATCAAAATTGGGTGATCGGAATTGGATGAAGTCGACGAACCCCGTTTCTGAAGTCGACGAACGCCGTTTCTGCCTGGTCCTGATTGGCAAGGTTCTACCGGTGAAACAAAGTTATCGAAGATAGTAGTTGGTTGGCGAAAGGTTTGGAGAGTATGGTGGGTGAACTTCGACGCTCAATTCGTTCAATATTCGGACGGTGATTTGTTAAACGTGCTGATCGGGACCCTTTGTCTGAACAGTGCCGGCTGCTGCCGACGCAATTGTCGATACATTTCGTCGATTTCCTCACAATAGGACTTAGCTGTGAGCGACGGGAGTTCGACTGCCGCGGATTCTCCTGCACACTCTCACAGACACTAGGCAGTATTTTCGTTTCGTCAACGTACGGGTGTTGGTCGATCGTTTACTGAACCAGTGAACCAAAATTATCCACCACATTGTGAATAGTTCTCTCGGTAGGACGATTATGGTGACAGTAAAATGGGCAATGCGCGCGGTAGGTTGCTCGAACAGAACACCAATTTTGATATAACAATTTTATTAGTTGTTGTTGACGACTTGGCGAAACAGACGGAATTGATGACAGATGGCAGATGTAGCTTCAATAAGACGACCGTTATGAATTGTCAAAGTTCGGACGTCCCTGTTGGACGACCCTATACCATACATATATAAAATAGGTTATTTATCCGATACGACCTCGTAGTAGAATAGTGGAACAATTCTTTCTTATCAGAAAGAATATCTGGTTCTTTTTTAGCATAATTATTAGCCCCAATCGACATGGTTTCATGAAAGGATGTTCAACCACCACGAATCTTGTAACAAGCACTCAATGTATTGCAGAGGGTATTGATTGTCAGTCTCAGACTGATGTCATCTACACTGATTTTTCTAAAGCATTCGACAGATTTGATCAAAGTATCCTGCTCAACAAGCTTTCGACTTATGGATTATCCAATGACTTAATTACCCTCTTCAAATCGTATTTTTACAACCGTAAGCAGTACTTCCAACTTAATGGCCTCAAGTCTATCGAATGTATAGCCACATCTGGTGTACCACAAGGATCAAATCTAGGACCCCTATTATTCAATATGTTCATTAATGATATCGGAGCTGAGATTGATGTCAATTTCCTTTTATACGCAGATGACTTGAAACTCTATCACAATATAACATGTTCTAATGATTGCTATCTCGAGAACAGATAGAGATAGTTATAGGACATTATTAACAAAAAAGTATTAAAATACCAGAACGATTCCAAAAATGTTAATATACGGGGTGTTCCATTTAAAAAAATAAAGTTGCTAGGACTTTTTGATGGAAGTGGCAACGCCTCAATGCTGAAAATATTTTAGATCGATAGAACAGGTAAGGAAATGTGAGAGGTGAAATTTTCAGAAAAATCATGCTTTTCGTTTTCCAGAAACGTCTAACCTACCATCGACCGTGAGTCACGCTGTATTTCATGTATTCAACATATAAATCATGATAATCAGTATATCATCACTGAACAGTTTTATATCTCGATAGTAAAATAATAAACGAAATTTTACTCACCACAGTGGATGTCATTAGCATGTTCAACTCATCTAGCAAATAATTGAACTTATCATGGTAGAGAGCATAAGTCCAAGGTTCCTTGAAGAATTCGAATAAGTCTGTTATCAACACCATTTCAAATCTAAGTGTTATATTGTTTAACAACCTTTCATGCTTCCCCCATAAGCAGTGTATATTGTAGATATCAATGGGCTGAAAATAAGAATAATGTTCTGTTGTAGTTGTATAAAGAAATTTTTATTATCGATAGTTGAAAAGATAAGTTTAAATGTACCTGATGTTTCTTAAAGTTTGCCATGAAATATAACTGAATTTTCTGAAATCTCCATATATGTTTATGCCAAAAAGTCTATGTCAAATGATTTAAGAGATCCGATTGAATTCCATATTGAAAATATCAAATACTCTCCAAACAGAGAATTGAATTGGAAATACTCACAGTTTTAGTTAGACATGTAATCGTTTCTACTCGGCTGAATTCATTCAAATGGAGCTGAAAGTATCCTTGTTTGCTTATATTCCTGCAGTTTCCCGTAATCAGAACTTGGCCCTAAATGAAGTACAAACTTTTATTGAGTCGTGACGAGTACGATTTGCTCACGTAGTTCTCCATCGATATTGCAGTTTCCAGAGGTATTCGTCTCCCCGGTTTGATTACAGAAAAGTAAAATAATCCACCCGGTAATCTGCAATACCTCATAATGGGCTGAACGTATCGTTGCACGAGGGATTCTCCTCTCTCGATATGGAAATTCCATCCCGCTTCTCGTCTATCGTATTGCGATTTCTGTAGTAATAATGGCCAGTAAACAAAACTATATTTTTAATTATAATCATTGCAAGGAAATTCATTGTAAATATCAGTAAGCTCCTGAAAAATGTAAAAGAAAATACTTAGCTAGAAATGTAATCGAAGGATATCAAAAAATTTCCCCAAATGATAACAAGCATAAGTCAGCGGAACAAATTCTGAGATTATACGAGGGTGGTCTGGAAAGTTTTCGAAAGTTTTAGAAAGTGATTGCCACTTCATTCGACATCGAATAAAGAGGCAATCACCTTCGTGAACAATTAATATGCAGGAAAAACACCGAGTACTATTTGGACGGGTTACAGAGATGGGAGCATCGCTGGGAGAAGTGTGTACAGTTGAAAAGAGACTATGTTGAGAAATAAAAAAAAAGAAACTGAAAAAATGTTGAGTCGACCTCCAGCAGTCTGGAACTGATGATTGGTCTCCAGAGATTCGGCTACTCAAATCTTGTCTAGATTTTTACTTCCTTCAATACAACCATTACAAGGAAAAACATCGTCTTTCGTGAAGAATTCAAGGCATTTTGTCGAACTACTAGGGTCAATTGAGGTCACACAGGAAGATCAACTAATTAGTTTCGACGTGGAAAGCCTTTACACCAACGTTCCGGTCGAAGAAGCACTCCAAATCATACAGAGAAAGCTATCCGAAGACGGGAACCTGAAAGAGAGAACGAATCTACCTATAGAAGTNTCTGATACCAATAAATTTTTTATTCGTAGAGGTTAATCTGTTATTTGGAATAGCGATATGGGATCTCATTCTAGTCAGATAATTGTGTGTATCTCCATTATGTATGTACAAATGCATGTGCGTTTTTATGTAGATTAGTTCGTTGTAAATAATTGCTGACGTAAGTGTCAGTATTTTGAACTTATTGAACCATGGTTTACGGCTTTCAGTCTGAGTTATACCGGCCAGAGCCCTAATGGCTTTTTTCTGGATAATAAATATCAACTGACTTTAACAAGAATGGCCCCAGTTAATTAGACCATAAGTAATAATACAGTGAAACATTCTATGGTTAGCAGAGATGGCTGCCTCTAGTTCACTAGCGATTTCATCCGTCTAATTGCAAATATTGCTTTTGATAACTTGCTTGCTAATTGATCTACATGAGGTTTCCAATATAAATTGAGATCGATAATATATCCTAGAAATTTTACGCTCTGAGTGGCAGTATGCTTGGTATTGAAAATAAGTAACTGAGTCTTGCGAGTGTTCAAACTTATTTCGTTTCCCGTGAACCACTCAGTAGCTTGATCGATCCTATCATTTCTTCAATTCTTGTAGAATTCTTTTCGATTCTGGTTGGGAAGGTAGGATCATCAGCAAACAAGGTTGTTTATGCTTTTGGGAAGGTCATTTATATAAATTAAAAACAATATCGGTCCCAAAACGCTTCCTTGTGGAACACCTTTGCGTATTATCAGACTTGAACTGCTCTGATTATTGCAGTGAACTATTTGGGATCTATTTTGAAGGTATGAGGTCATCAGTTTTCTTGCAGAGTCAGAAAATCCGTAGAATTTCAACTTGTCAATTAGTAAAGAGTGATTTACACAGTCAAACGCTTTACAGTAATTGTGAATTGATCCGCCATTTTGTAAAATTTATTGAATTGTATTGTCATCAAACAAATGTATGTACCAAATATCAGATCAATCTGTAAACAGGATCTAAATAAACCGGGCGAGCTGAATAAAACCGTTCAAAAATAAGGTGAATGTTTAAATTTCGCTAGCTACATACATTCGATTAGCGATTTGATCATACACTCGTGGTGTAGTGCATAACAAGTACTTGCCACGTGATCGTACGGTATTGTCGAAAAACAATTCATGGCTTCTGCATCACTTGTCACTCACTTGTTTGGCCATTAATAACACTGTAACCATGCTTCAGCCATCGTATTTACCAGATATGTCCCCAGCGACTTTTTCCTGTTCCAAAGATCAAAGAGACCCATGAATTCCTGGCACAAGTGTATTATATCTGAGATGCACTACTTTGAAGGGACAAAATAGAAATTGATCGATAAAGGATTATTTTCTGAGCAAAATGATAACTCACCTTATTTTTTAACAGACCCCGTACTTTCTGTTATTGCTTTTTCGAATGAGTTGACTAATTTGTCATCTTCTTAAGCTTTGTAACGAACCCATAAGAATGCCGATCGTGAATAATTGATTTGCTAATGTACAGTATTTTCTAATGTGATCAATTAAGGAACGAAACATTATGACTATTCTACAATCTTTCATATAACGGTAGGTAGTTACAAAACCTAATTACATAAATTACTAATTCTGGTGGAAGGGGTAGATCTTGAGAAAACAATTACATTTCAATATTATTTCTGGGAAACAGACTCATTATCAATATGCTGATTCTTGTCATTTCATGAAAACACGTTTAACAATAAATAAGGTCGACGACATCTGAAAACGCCATCTATGGGATCGACAGAGAAATCAACCTTTGAATATCGAAAATAAACGGGATCTGTAAATATCTACATCTACCATTATAAATATACAGGGCGTTTCAACGAAAACTGGACCACCCCTATACCCCCAGCAACTACCCCCTATTTTTTTCAACAATGGCATGGGTGGTCGAGTGATACATCATTTGAAAGGTATTTTGTCCTTCTATTACTCCTGTAATTTTTTTGTAAATCGGTTCACTCGTTATTGAGAAATTGAATGTTGAACGTTTTTTTTAAGAAACAACAGAAAATTAGCTGTTGCTCATTTTATTGAGGAAATCAACAAAAGTAATATCAATGGCAACACAATCAACGGATAAAGTGTTCGAAATGACCTCTGTCTAGTTCCATACACTAATACAGTCTACTTTTGAAAGNTCCAAGAAAAATGGAACTTTCAGTATTTTGTGATTGAGTCCAGTAATAAGGCGCTATGTTTAATTTGTAATAAAACCATAGCTGTTCTCAAAGACTATAACATTAAACGACACTATGAATCGAAACATCTTCATCTTGGATGACACTTTACGTGATTTTTCCCAACTGTTTATTGTATTGCAAAAATTCTATTGTTGTTAATTGTATAATTCCAAAAATACCCGCCCATATGTGAATTTCTTATCAAGTACTTGAAAAACTCAGTCATCGAAAATTAATCTCACAATCGCTCATCACAAAAACCAAGCAATTGCGACTGAACGAAAAACGGTTTTCTGATTTCCTGATCAATGTAAAATTTTGTTACAAGTATTTCAAAAGGTTTCAAGTAATTTTTGAGATCATTGGTTCTTTGGCTGTATACTAACCTTACGAGAAACAAGCATATCTTTAATTTGCAAACCTAGACGTTGGCCAATTTCCATCCTGTTATAATATTTATGTATCATATTGGGTGCGTAATATTTCCTTGAATATTTTGTTAGAGTTCCCGCTCCATAAATATTTGGGTCGTTTGTTCGACACTGATTATCTATGACTAACCGACCTGAGGAAAAAGTACAGAATTTAGAAATGAAAAACAGCTGCGAAGCTATTAATAACAAATGATCTACAAACGATGACTGGTAATCAACCGGTGACGACTGTGGATACTAACAATCGAAACGTTGACTTGGAATCTCTTAAGTTTTTATGTATTGTTTTTTCTTTAATTGTTCTATTGTTTTCTTGTATTTTATTTAACTGTAATTTCATTTCAGGGCTTTTTTGCTCAATATATACAGGGTGTAACATAAGTACATTAAAATATTCAAGTGACGTATTCCTGAGAAAATTTTAAGAACTTGTGTCCGATAATGCTTCGTTTCGGAGATACGGGGTGTTGAAATTGAATTTTTTTGTTCGCTTTTTGAAAATAACTTGCAAAAAATGAGTTATTTGCACGAAATTCGGTACCCGGGGTTTTTTTAACGTGGGAAATCATAATTTCGTATTAATTTTCATGTAACATCTCTGAGCAATACGTCGACATTTTCACAAAATAAATATTTCGAACTCCGAACGAACACAACACTATCACAATACCAAAGTTTACCGATTCTGTAGTCTTTGACAATACCAAACAATACGGACAACCTTTATATCTCGTGTGCCGACGAGAACTGGTAACTTCAAGCGACACACTGTACTACCTCGGCTGGTAATTACCCGCTGTCGCTAGCGGGCGGCGAGATTTCTCAGATGTCGAAAAATGAGCGAGNCCGTTAAACTGCAAAACTTGTGCATTTCACTCGTTATTATAAAAAAGTTTTCCTAAGTATGATATAGCATTTGCGATCAACAAGATGTTGATTCTGAATACGACCCTGGCCAATTCTTGGGATTTTCAATATCACGTGCCTAGGGCATGTCAATGTTTACATCCACTCTATCTTGGATTTGAATTTGCTTTAGATGTTACATGAAAATTTATACGAAATTATAATTTCCCACGCAAAAAAACCCCGGGTACCAAATTTCGTGCAAATAACTTATTTTTTGCAAGAGTTATTTTCAAAAAGCGAACAAAAAAATTCAATTTCAACACCCTGTATCTCTGAAACGAAGCATTTTCGGACACAAGTAGACTTTTTTTCTTAATATTGTCTCAGGAATACGCTACTGGAATATTTTAACGTACTTATGTTACACCCTGTAGATGTTATTTTTAGGTATTGTTTTTAATTTTTCATTTATGTTGGTTCTTCTAGGGATTTCAAATCATTTTATGTTAGACAATGGAAGTCCGAACTAATGAAGTAAATAAACTTATCATTATTATTATTAGACGATGAGTTTTTATTTATGAGTGATGTAGAAAAAATTCGGTATTTTGAATCTCTTTTAGTTCAAAAGTTCCGGTCAAAAAACCCGGAATTGAAAATGCACTGTTTGAAAATATTTTCTTACCATCGTACACTAGTCCAGCATTATTAATAACCTTGTAAATCCTTGGACTGATCTCTTTCTCATTGAAATAGAAAAGAGCCATACAGTCCATTTCCAACATATTATGCCTGGACTCGAATTTGGCCTGGGTTATGATGTTGTCTTCAGGATTGTACGTCCAATCGATGAAATAGAAGGAGGAGTATATCTCAATACCTTCGCTTCGGATGTGATCATAAACGGCTTGATCAATTTCGGGGTCGTTGTAGATTGAAACGTTGTGCCGGTGGCGTTTCTCTATCGCCATACTGTATGGAAATGGTTCTATCAAAACCATGTGGGATCCGGGTACTCCGTAGGTGAGAAGACCGCTTATGGTGCAGTGGGCTTGCAGGAAATGACCGTAAATTATAATGACGTCTGAAAAAAGGTGAATGAGAAACCAAATGTCTGAATGCTACTCTCAGATTGTTTGTTGAGTGAGTTTCTACTGGACTGGGAAGTCTAACATATATGGGGCTACTCTATAATAATATTTATTTTCCCACAAGACATATATAAAGTGTAGGGAACCCTCATATACTTTTAAAGGGAATCTACTCCTGCGTCAAATTACGCCACCAAATACGTGGTATTCTATTCAACTTTAAGAAGTTATTCATGTGTGTCCAAATTTTGAGGCAATTTTTTTCGCCACTGGGAATAATATTGCATTAAAAATTTCATGTGGTAGTCAACTTTAACCTCTGAGTTAAGCAGTACATTTAATCACGAACTGCTCGTTACACGTTACAGGGTTTGGCCGAGAAAAAACTGATCCAGAGGTACAATGAGCACAAAAAGGCATACATAAATCCAACAATATATAAATCAAACCTCGCAACACACGCCATACAAAACAAACATAATTTCCGCTCACCAGAGAACATAAAACTCATAAAACAAGTCAACAAGGGAAACTGCATGGACATTTGGGAAAACTTGAACATCCATAAATTTAACAGTCATAAATCACTTATCGA